GTTGAGGTTAGAAGGAACCTCCACAGATCATCCAGTCCAACCCCCCTGCTCGAGCAGGGACGACCTAGAGCATGTGGCACAGGGTGGGATCCAGGTGGGTTTGAAGACCTCCAGAGAAGAAGACTCTACAACCTCTCTGGGCAGCCTGTTCCCAGGCTCCATCACCCTCACAGTAAAGAATAAAAATAAAAAATATATAAAATAAATGCTTAAAGCACAGAAAGTCCTCTTGGGCATCAAAACAAAAACAAAAAAAATGAAAATAAACAAACAAAACAAAACCCACTAGACATGTAAACAGAGGAAGAATAGTTGTTTACTGAAAACTACAGACAAATCAAGGTTCCTTCCCCACAGTCAGGTCACAACAAGAAAGAAAAACTGCTCAGGAGCAGTCAGGAAATTCCTGACTTAGTTTTCCCAACTTTTGCTGCATTCCACCTGCCCATCATCCAAACAGCCCTCTGGAGTTTCTTCTCCCCTTTCCTTGATGTCCTCAGCACAGTGAGAAAGCACTTCCCAACAGGCAGTGCTGGAGCTACTGGTCCATGTGGCTGGTCTGAAAGCACAAATGTTGTCCTCTGAATCCAGCAGCCACCAGTGGCTGACTGAAGAACAGAGAAACTTCCTCCACTTCAAGGGTAGCAAAGCTCTCTTGCCAAACTGAAACGAGCAACTTCCTCAGGAGGCTGCATGGACTGAACAGTTGTTGGCCGTTGTTAGGAGGCAGTTTCACAAACAGCTTCAGCTTCTCTATCAACATTGTGCTGCTGAAAGGGTCATCCCTGGCACTGCTGATGGCACATCTTGCACCTGTAGATATATTTCTGCTTGCAAATACAGGTAACATTCATCTTTTAAGAGGATGCAGCAGAGTAGGCAGCAGCAAAGAGGTAAAAGCTGGATTGTGCCTTTCAATAAGAGCAGAAAAATCTTGTGCTGCCAGCTGCTTCCTTCTAGTTCAACTCCCTATTCATTATCACAGGTGAAACTAATTAATTCCCTCCTGAAAAGGCTGCTCACACAACCACAGTAATTATTCCAGCCTAGGATGTGTGGTAATTTCTGTAATTCTGTGAGCCCACAGACCTGCTGTGACATTCACAGGATCAATTCTAGCATTGGTTTTCCATAAAAACCTGATCCATCACACCATGCAGGCACAATTTAGATTAATGAGGCAGAGGAGGTCATCTGCAGTCCAACTGCATGAAAACTTAATTTGCAAATCTGCAGCCACTGGATGAGTGGAGCCAAGGAAGTTAAGACGATATGAGAGGCCATGACAGGAGAATTTGCAGGGCACTGATTTTAACAGTTTGGCTTCTATCACTAGCCTAAAATCACAAAATCACAAAAAAGGCTGGAAGGGACCTTTAGAAATCATCCAGTCCAACCCTCCTGCACATGCAGGGTCACCTAGAGCATGTGGTACAGGACTGCATTCAAGTGGGTGTTGAAGATCTTCAGAAAGGACTCCACAACCTCCCTGGGCAGCCTGTTCCAGGGCTCTGTCACCCTCACTGTTAAGAAATGTTTCCTTAAGTTCCTGTGGATCTTTTGGTGCTTCAGTTTGTGTCTGTCTCCTCTAGTCCTGTCGCTGGCCACCACTGAAAAGAGGCCGGCCCCCTCCTCCTCACTGCCTCCCTTGAGGTATTTGTAGACACTGATCAGATCCCCCCTTAGCCTTCTCTTCTCCAGGCTGAACAGGCCCAGCTCAGAGGCCTGCCAGAGGGCAGATGTTCCAGGCCCCTGATGATCCTCATAGTCCTGCGCTGGTCTACATATTCTGTAGGGACATGCCAGTACAGTCCCCTATAGGAACCTCACCAAAGATTTCTGGCAGACCAAGGGGTAGCAAAGAGTGCCTGGAGCTACAGTGCCAAAGATCAGCAAGGTAACTCACCTAGTTTCTTCACTACCACCACTACATTTTGGCCATAGGCCAAGAAATTAGAAACCAGTAGGAGGCTGGTCAGTGGACTGGCAGGGGAAAAGTATTTGTTTGAGTGGATGTGGGAGTTTGGCCATTAAAACACTGTAATAAACATTGTATTATTCTAACAGAGCATCTGGTCCTTTTCAAGTGCTTATGTGAAGCGTATTAAAATAGTAATTCTCATTTCATTTGAGCAGGTATCCAGAGGAGCAGACTCTTCACAGTTCACAATGAAAGCATTTATCATAATCTTTTCTCCCTCATGTTGTGACACGTACAGCCCACATACATTTTGCAGACTCGTTTGTCTCTGTAACAGTCTCTTCCTCAAGAGTTACAAGTCACTGCAGGGGAATCACTGCTGTGCCAACAGTGATGTGGTGCTACTGCTGCTACAAGTGCTTGCTTACCACGAAGATCATGAAGGATTTGGTTGCTCCTGCATTCTGCTCTGACCAACACACTGCTCTCCTCTCTGGATGGAGAAGGTGCTGCCCTTCTCTGCCTTATGCAGTGCTTTTTATTGCTGTTCATGATTCCCTGAAGGAATGCCCATGGAGATGCTGTGTAGTACTGCTTCCAGCAAGTCATGCACTTCTCGGATCTACCACATGAATGTGAGAAGACTGCAGGAGCACTGATGTGTGTCACATAGGTCAAGAGTTATCATAGCAGCATCATTCACCTAATCCATCTATGTACAGTGAACATGTCTAAGATTTCCTCACCTACCACCACCCTGTTGGCACATAATAGCTTGGCTGGTCTTAAGTCTAGACAACAAATCTCCAGGCAAATTTTCTGTGTGGTTAAACAGGGACCAAGGTATTTGCTAGCTGCCTCTAGTAGCCCACCCAGCTCTAGACCACTAAAAAGTGGATTGTCACAGCTCTCATATTGGTCTGGGAGCTGGGAAAAGAGTTCTCCAGTCCCCTCTGAGAGATGACAAGGACGGTGGCATCTACATGGTAAAGGCTAGATTTACTCTCAAGCCTCAAGATATACTCACACTCCTATCCCAGACAGGCAGCAAGGCTCAGCTCATGCCCTTTTCCACATAAAGGGTCCCTGACTGGGAAAGACACTCTAGCACTGCAAGCACCTGCAAGACCAGCCTGCTGGTAAGGGAAGGTGGAAGCTGATTCAGAGGCTGCCTCCATATATATGGACCTGACAGTTCTGCTACAGGCTCTCAGATGTCTGCTGTTAAAGTACCTATAGGTGAGATAAAGCACTCTGTTAGGTTAAAGCAGAACTCTCCCTTTCTCCCCTTTAACAGCTTTTCGGGGTCTGCTTGTGATTCAATCTCTCTGCTCCCAGTGATGTGCAGATAACACCCTGGGCGAGGTTTAACACAGGGATTACAGAGAGCCTTGGGCACCTAAACAAGTGGACAGATCCTGACTTATCTGCCTCTGCCTCTGGAATAGCCCTGAATTGGCTCTAGATTGCCTCAAGAACTCCTGCACTGGGCCACAGACAAGACTTTCTGCTTCGTTATATATTCATATCCACATGGATCTTGATCATTTGCCAACTGCTGAAAGCACTGGAATGCATCAGGAACAAGTGAAAATGATTGTAATTTAAAAGAAGTGGAATCTTTTTCCAGTTTTCCATTATCATCTGGGTGTTCTGCTAGCACTGATGACCCCAATCTGATGGGGAAGGCATGGTCTGGTGCTCTCAAAGCAAACTTCAGAGATCTTTCTCTGCAATGAAGAAAGGGCAACCATATAATCCAAGCGACATTAACACAACAGATGGAAAAGCTCTCTCCTCTGGTGGCTCCACTAAAACAGGCACTTCTTTTCCATCCATATAAACAATCTGGGCCAAGCACTTTATGCTGAGATTGCTAGCACAGGAGAAGGCAGATATGAAAATATTACAAGCACTTAGGAGGTTACTATCACTGTACCACAGCACGCCATCAAGTCATATCCTCCTCCACTTGCTTTTATAAACATTGGGGGGGGGGCTGTCAAGTTGTAATGGGAGGTGATACCTAATCCAATTTAACATGTGTTTAAATTAAATCAAGTATTACCACTCCGATAGGGAAGTGCTTCTGCACAGGTAGAAAACAATAGCTGCAAAACCACCTGCTTCCAAGAAATCCAAACACAGCTTCTCATTCCTGTGTTTAGCACCAGTTGTTGAAGCCATACATGCTAACAGGAGCTGGCTTGCAAGAATTAGCACTTAGAACAGGTTGACTTCATCTTCCAAATCCCTGTTGAGATCCCGAAGGTGCAAGTTTTGACTCTTCACTGCAGCACAGATTCCCTAGTGATGCTGGTGTCCGAGCATTGCCTCCCTCTTTGATCTCATGAGCATTAGCAGTACAGGCAGACTAGCTTTGTGAGACTGAGATTGGGAATAAAACATGTTAGGTCATGATATGTCCAGAGCTACACTAACAAGGGGGCAATTTAAGTCTGACACCAAGTATATTATTCCTTTCTGAAATTGTGAGCTCCATCCCTCCCCTTTACTGTGCTGAAGATTAAATGCAGAGCAATGGAGCTTTTAATACAAGTCCTTTATGACTGTGGAGGCGGGCACAGAAATTCTCCTGGAAGTGGCACGGACTTTTCTGAGCCAGCAGCAGAAAATCATTACTCTAGTAGGAAGAGAGAAACCCTGATCTCAGAGCATTGAAGGAGAATTCATCTTAATTTCTGGACTTGGGAATTCCTCACTTTTCGTAAGGCAGGGAAGTCTCTACCGTTCCGTGGATCATTGTGACAGAAACTGGAACTGCCACGTTAAACACCTGGGACTGGATGGCATGTCTTGGGTTTACAAGACCATTCATTAGGAGTCACAGGATAACACCCCACACCCTACTCTTCACAAAGGACCCTACTATTTTTCCCTTTTAATAGCTTTAAATCCCAAGCTTCATGACACAGATATTCCCTCCCTTTTTAGTTAAGCACCAAATCACAGTTAGCATTCAACAGTATTCAAGCTTTGCCCTCAAATTTAAGATCTAAACCGTCTAATGCCATACTCAAAGGATCTTCGTGCTACRGGACAGATTTGAGATGAGTACCTCAGCAGTTCCTCAATGTCCTCCTCTGGACTCCTGTTCAGCACAAACTCCCTGCTCTCAACAGCAGCTGGAAGCAGTAGTGAGTCGCCCAGTCTTACCATCCCACCAAGGTCTGGGTCTTCAAATAGTTTCAGATCTATAAAAAGGAACCAGAAGAGTCAAATAATGCTTCATAATACATTATCCACATTAACACTAGCTAGGGAATCCGGTGATGAGTTGGAAAAAAAGAAATTATTTTTACACAACGACTTCCAATCCACAAAGTTCCATATTTATTTCCTCTATATGATTCTACCTCTAAGATTTCTCTTAACATTCTCAAGTCATTCTTTAACCTGTATCACTATATTTTAAAAGCTCACTTATGCAAAATGCTTTAGAAAAATCCATCTGTGTATATAAACAAATGGAGAACAGGTTTACTTTGTTTCATCTTCTTTCTGGTACCAACTGATGAGAAATCTTTCTCTGGGCCAAACAGTCCTTCCTCTGGATCAACTTCCTCTTCAAAAAGGGTTAACTTAGGCTCCTCTTCTTTCTTGGCTGGTGAAGCAGATACCTTCCTTGTTTTTTTAGTTCTAAAAACATAAGAGACAAGAAAATCAGCTGCAATCCTACATTTAACAAAGATTTATGGCTTGCAAAGTCCCATAAACTGAAAATAGATGGAGGCTGGGAAAGCATCATGGAAAGGTACGCAGGCATCSGTTACAGTCACTGGCAGGATATTGAGCTAGATGAACTTTTGCTCTGATGTACTCTAACTGTACTCACACTTTGTATTCTTAAGACCTATAAAGGAAGCCAATGGGAACTGGAGGAGCAGTGCTAGCAGCGCCGTACTGTGAAAACCACCTATCACATTTGTTGTTAACACTTTTACTCCTCCCCCGCAGAAAGCTTAAAATAAGAAAGAACAGTTGTTCCAACAACACTGTTACAGACAGATAGAAAAGGGATGGCTTGAAAATAACATGTAGGCTGAACCATTGCACTGATCCCTTTGGAAGGGTTTTAAAAGGTTTCCTTGGTTCTATTCCCTCACCACCGACTGCTGCAGTTTTTGATTGATGCATGAAGGTGCTAGTTAGTGTATGAGAACATCCTCATACGTCCCAAAGGAGACACASTACGAAGTCTACTGTACCCTTAAGATGAAGTGAGCAGAGACTGGTAGAGACTATGTTGGACAGACGGCATTTACAAAAGTCAGCCAAGAYTTTCTGGTACTGAGAGTAAGATTAATTTGCTCTAAATTTAGCCTTCTAAAAGTTTGACAGTGCCACAAAGTTAATTTTTAGACTTTTCTAGTCAATGGAAAGAGACATATCTCTATAGGACAATTAATCCCATCTATTTTGAACGCTGACATCTGGATGCAATAAATCTCTGCAGATTTCTCTGCATGTCTCTCCAGTGGGTACAGGAGGAGGCTAAAAACTGCTTTGGATTAAAGGCCATTTGCTGATGGCTTAAACTAGGAAAGATTAATCTCCTTCCAAGAACAGAGGGAAAAGTACATGTCTCATGCCCTCATACCTAAGAGTTGTGTTCTATGAGATGAAGCTAAAAGGCAGATTTCACAGGAGGGCAGCTTGAGTTTGAGTTATGWGGCAGAAAATGGCATTAAAAAAAARRAAAAAAAAAAGAATTTAGAGCATTCAAAAGCCTTTGGATGGAAAGTCTAATTCAAACTAAGTAGAAAGAAAATAATTCCTTAGGGCAACATGTCCTTCCTAAAAAAATCTCCAGATTTTAGAGATTTTTTCCTCTTACCAGGCACAGCTTGGCAACTACTAAGTCAGCGCCTTCGAGCACCTCTTACATTAGAGGATCTGATTTTCTCCTCTGCAGAGAGCAGGTCAGGTTTCAGCCTAGGGCAAACCCAATTATCATCATTTAACATGCTGCAGTCATTAAAAGCTCAGAACTGAGGTCAAAAGATTACACACACATTCCAGCTACACCGAGGAACCTCTTCCAACTCCAGCCGTGCACACAGYGACCTGTTACTTCCATTTTCACAACAAAATAGACCTTCTGTATCATAGTGTCTTGCTATCAGTATTTCACCTCTTTGCAACAAGAAATGCTGCCCTTCAGCAACCCAAGAGTCTCATGCAAAAAAACTAAGAGAAAAAGAGGCTTCTTCCACGTATTGACAAAATCTGAAGTAACGCTACATACAAACTAGACTGTTTTCACAGAGGACTTCTACACAAAGTTACTGCTTTGTTAGCTGCAGTAAGCAATCTGACACTCAAATTGAGCCTGAGCACTAAAGGAACAGGTAACAAATGGTAACAAATGAGGGCCATTACTTAAAAGACAGGAAGAGAAGAACAATAAGGCAGAGTCTTACAGAGTTGGCAAACTTATTAAATAGAATTAGTAGGCACAAATAAGTAAGATCTATTGGGGAGGATAAGTAAGATCTATTGAGGAGGGAGCAACTTTTATCTACAGAATTCCTGTCCTTCAAAGCACTAGTGCTCTTTGGAGAACTGAATCAACATGTAGRTAAGGATTGCAAATCCACAGTGTCCAAAGCCTTCGACAAGATCCCTGTCCATGCAGAGGGTTACAACAGCTCTCCTGACGCACGAGGGCTTGTTACAACACAGGAGCTTGTTCATGAACCTATAGATCCAACAGCTGGATATATAGGAGCAACAGCTCTCCACCCTTGCAAAGTTAGCAAGGGGTTCACTATTAGCATTATTAGCTATGGCTATTAGTAAAATTAGCTGGAAATATCTGCCACAAGGAGTCRCAGAATGCTGGGAAACATCAAGTAAAGGGAAAAGAACCATAAAAACAATGTCATAACAAACAGTATGCAAAACTAAATGAACTGAAAAGCCTTGGTATTAAACCTCTGTTTAGTCTAGCCATCAAACCAGCCCACTTACACCGACTGGCTTTCTGTTTTGCCAAGGGACTCCATTGGCAGTTCCAGGGCACGGGGCCAAACCCACAGGGTCTGACTGCTACCAGTAGGAACATGAAGAAGTTGTTTTTCTGTCTTCAAGTCGTTTCCCCTCACTGCCCTTCTAAGGAAGGCACAGCTGAACTGCCAAATAATTCCAGCGTATCCATAGAGGGCCTCCGTTGAGGTCAGTCTCCAACTGCGAAACACAGTTCCCACGGTTCCGTATTTAGCTGTGCTGGTTGAGCCTGTGCTCTGCTGAGCAGAGGTTAAGAGATGGGAAAGGGTGTGTAAGAAGTTTCGGAGTCTGTCTGAGGTTCTGGTTTCATAATCAGCTTCAGCTGGCCTGGGACAGTGTTGAAAGAGGTAGCTCTGCTTGTCCCTTTGGCCCCTCCATGTATCTGTCACCTCCCCATGAACTGAGAACCAAGCTGGATGGTCAGGAGATTCCACAAGTGCTAGATATAGCACAYAGGAAGAGCACAAAGCATGCAAGGGCGAAAAGAGGGAAGAAAAACCACATTCAGTAGCATCAGGGAATTAACTTGAAAGGAGTCTCTCATTAAGGCACCAGTGCTTTCCTCATGCAGTAGATCTCTGAACATCACACTTGCAATGTTGGCACGTGACATCCTGAAGCTACCTGCACCTGGCCTAAGATGACCCATGTCATTGCTTCTTCCCTTGCCATGAAACAAGTGGACTTTTCAGTGAATTTTAAAAAATTATCAAACCGTAAAATTGATGTATGCTTTGTTCGGCTGAAGAGCTTTCTGAAAACTTACCCATTTACCCAGTTGAATCTATTGGTTTCTATACATGAAACATTGTGAGCCATCATGTGTGCCTGTAAATGAAGACCGATTTTAGAGCCTTCAGTCTTCACTGAAGAAGTCTGGATCAAAAAGAGGCGTCCAAAAACTAGTGAGTATAAATTTGCCTAGTCAGCCTGCAGACTCACTTGAAAAYGAAGTGGAAATTCCTGGCTCCCCAAAGACTCTCAATCACCTGTGAAAATGTCCATAAAACCCTGCATGCAGATGCAACCACCTTCAAAACAAGCCCATTCTGCAAAGCAATTCTCCTTTTGCTGCTTACACAGTGTTGGGCACTCCCACGGAGGCCTCCAGAGCTCACRGGCACATCAATAACGCAGGAATTCTCTTCTTGATCAGCTGTAGAAAACTGCATTGGGGAGGACTAAGACTCTCCAAAGCGGGAGGATAAGATTTTCAGATCTGCATGTGTGATACCTATGCTGTGAACCACTGGACCTCCAGATCTAGCATGTAGTGCCATATAGCTTGAAGGAAAGAGCCCAGGCTCTCTATCATATTTAGTAAGACAGGAGACCCTAAACCACACTCACAGCTGGTTTAAAAGACACATAATAAATACTCACTTCTGTTTATGTAATTATCCAGAGTAATTGCAATCTCAATGCCCAGCCAGACAAATATTTTAGCATTCATTATCCTGAAAACACGGCCACCTCTTTTTTTCTAGGAAATGCTCTGGGAAAAGAATGTTCTAATAATACAGAGAAGAATTATTCAAAATACACATGTGTATATTTTAGGATTGTCACAAGTTTTACACAGACAGAGCTCACTAACACAAAGAGGCATCCCAGCTCCCACAACACCTCTATGTTCTGGCTTGCACGGAAGAACTGCTATTAATATAGCAGTAATATTAGCATATCTTCTTGAAAACTGTTTCTGAAAAACAAAGATCCTATACAGCAGTTCATGCAGAAAACAAAATGTCATCTGCTGCTTTSTTTTCATTCAGCAGTGCTCATTTTCCCAAGCCGTCTGATAACAACAGGCACAACAAAAGGGGTCATTCTCATCTGCTTTGGGCCAGGGATGCAGAACAGAAAAATCTAACTCAACGCCACGCAGCCTGACTGCTAAGCATTGAGAGACAAGTGCTGGCCACACGGATACCTTATCTCACACCATCGGCTTTCTTCCTGTTAGATCTCACAGCAGCTTACAGTGTTTTAGATGGCCTTGGCAAACCCCAAAATAAGATGCCCCGTAAGAGCTGAAAACTAAATATTAGAAATCATTTAAAGTAAGAATATTAAATTGCAGGGAAAATTTGTTATGCTGCAATCTTTGGATTAGTTGTTCCAACAGAAAAACAAAATGAAAGAAAGCATAAAGGAACAGAACTTTAAGAGTTCATTTCCCACCTAAGGACCTGCTTTAGTGGAAAATCTGTTATTTTTGTTTTGTTTTGTTTTTAAGGGTTCAGCACTCTAGAATACTTCTTATTCCTAAAAGAAGCTAAAAAGTGTTAAAATTGGATCTTAAACTTTCTGATGATATCCTTCCAATGTCATTTAAAAACAGAAAACATGACCATAGACTGACAAATTTTCTTTAGTATACAGCTCATTAGCAATAATCATAATATAGGAACATTTCCTGTAAAGCTTTCATTTTAACAACTAATGAAACACACAGGCATTAATAAGCTCAGCAAGAGAACAAGACTCGCACGGTAGCTTGCAAAGAAGAACATTACCATGTAGGAAAAGTCTTTATCATTTTCCTTTGATTTTCTAAATTAAAACAGAATGTGAGATCTGCTGAAACAACTTAAGGACAGACAGGAAGAAGAATTTTAAAATATAAT